ACCTCAAAGTTTGATGCAAAAACGCATGATCACACCGGCTCGCCTGGTGCGTTCCAGCCTGGGTTGTTAATGACGAAAATGTTACCTACGCGTGAAAAACGCGGAACATGAGTTGTCGCGAGAATTGCTAAGTCAGTGGGTGAAGCCGGGTTTTTTGTCAGTCATGGAGTTTTTTGGGTAACTCTGGGGAGCTTTTTCTTGGATGGTTAAGTCTAGAAAATCGCTAGGGTCAAAGATCATTTTTTTCAGGAAGTGTTGGTGGCAACGCCAAGCAAGAAGCAGAACATGCGGCTACTGGTTTCCAAGAAGGAACACAAGTGGCTCAAGCTACCTTTGGTTAGCTTTCAGTCATTAATTTTGAAATTTCACCTCGTTGATTCACACTCACATTCTGTAAATTAAATTTCTTTAATTTACAGTGTTTGCACTGTTGGGAAAAATAAAAAAAATTACTGTTATAATTTAAGAAAAGTAAAGAAACGTAAAGCGGTTTCGCAAGCTTTTAGGAAACACGAAAAACGAAAATTTATTTAAAAAATAACTATATCAAGAACACCATCCTCATGTGGGCAGTCGATGTGAGAATACCATTTTGGTGGTATTACTCCCCCACAACTCTCCCACATTTCAGGCAAAGCTGTTCCAGACTCTTCGATCTTCGGCTACATATTTCCAGTTAGCATCCATCTCCTGTGCATTGTTTGTGCGCCACCTCTTTTTGAGGTCCAACCAAGAGATCGTTTTCGTTCTCGTGGCTACCACCCACCTGTACGCGGTATCCATAAAGTGACTAAATAGTGTAGGAAAATGAAGATAAATAGAAGGGATTTTCTCAACTTTTGATGTTTTTTAATGCTTGAATATTTTTTTAAACTCTTTTATTCTCTATATATTTAGGCAGAGCGAGAGAAAAAACTGGCCATCATGCAGAAGCAGCCGGTGGCGCATCTTCTGAAATTGGTGCTGCTGCCGCCGGTATCTTTTAACGGATCAGTTTTTTAAACGGTTTTAAATACATTTTATTGTTGAAAAATTCTAAGATCTTTCACGAAAATACTGCAAACGAATCAGTAACTGAAAATCATAAGAATATATTTTTAAAAATTCAAAATAACCACAACTTTTCAATATAGGGTAATATCAAAAACAACAATAATAATGATAATGACGACAATGATGATGATAATTGTATCAATAATAATGACATTAGTTATCAGCTGGCAATGATAGCAAATAATAATGCTGATAATAACTACGTGAAGGTCGCTCTTATAATCCGCTGAAATTTAAACTATTTTCCCTTTCGAGGAATGCGGCGTCTGCTCTTTTGCAGGTGCAGTTGCTGATATTGCAAAGCATGGCGTTCATGCAGCCAACGCTTCTGGTACATTAATTTATAGCTAAAAACGTTTTTTTTGAGCAGGACAATGAAATTTTAGATTATGGGAAATGTTGTGTAAATAAATCTTTTGTTGGTTCCCGGCCCAAAAGCAACAGCAGCAATACCCATGCTGGAACGCACCAGGCGGGCCGTTGCGATCATGCGTTTTTGCAATATTTCATGTTATAGCGAGATCGCAAGGAATCACAAATAGAATTATTGGCTCTCGAGGTTCAAGGAGTCAATTGCGCAGCCATATGGCATATTAATTGTAAATGCCCGCTTCAGTGGCCCAACAGATGGGAGTTGCTTGTGTGCGAGAAAAAGACCTCACTAGAAGAGTTTGATTTGAAATCTTTTAACCGCACATGAGTAGGGAACATTTCTTTAAAATTCCAGCCTCCAACTTTTCTCGTTCAGGGGTCAGCAATTTTCCCGCAAATGCGTGAGACGTGAGAAGTCCTAAGGAACTGAATTCCCCTAAGTTTCAGCTCTCTAGCTTTTCTCGTTCCTGAGTTAGCAATTTTCCGGCCAAAATTTCACATGTCCGTACATGAGATATAGATGTGCACAGCAAATGGTGTCACGTTCCTGGGGTCGCACTTAACCAGGAGACACAATAGTAAAATTTCAGCTTCAAAGCTGGGGTGTTTGGCGAGTAGAAACACCCGGATAGACGAACACACATACATACACACAGATAGGGTCGTTGCAATGTGCGTTTTTGCTGCCCGTTGCAACGCTGTAACGCCTTCAGTATTGCTATTATTGTTATTTCGCCTGCTGTTATTATTGCTATTGTAATTATTATTACTATTGTTGTTATCATTGTCATTACTATCACTTAAATCAAAATTGTAATTAATATAATCGTCATTGTCATTATTATGGTTGTAATAATAATTATTGTTACTAAAAAGTGAGTTTTCAGTGGAGGCAGCAGAAAAGGTCAAGCAAGGTGTAGCACGCTATGGATCAAAAGTTGTACTGACTGATGATGATGCTAAAAAAGCTACCGCTGCTAAAGGTAAGATTTCATGGAGCCGCTCACTTGAAATTGATTTTGAAAACGTGGCGAAATTTGTTGCCAAAAAACAATTTCAGATCTTTTAAAATTATTTTAAACTTTTCCTATTTTCTGGAAAGTGAGGGGTGATTCAAAATTGGCTGCTTGATTTATAATGCCACCGAAATGGCTTAGATCATTTCTGATGATAAGACTGAGTCGTAGCCGAGAAGTTCTTTTCTAATTCGCCGTCATGGACCACTCGCCTTCACGTTTTTCCAACCACTTGACGTCCTGTCTGGAGTACTCAATTTTTTTTCGATATTTTTCTATGAACCACTTCTCACTCCATTGCTTGCTACAGCACAGCTGCAGCGCGCTTCTTTTCTTTAATTACTGCGTCACTGCTTTCAACACAGTTGTTATTGAAGAACTGAATACAGCTTTTCGGTTCGAGACTTTGAAGGCACCAATGTTACTATGAAATTTGCGCCAGCCGGCAATCCTGCGTGTAATCCACGGCCGGTGACTCTGGCGCATATCTAAATCCTGTACAACATAGGTCCGGTTTTCCCCCTTTTACTTGGAATCCTGTCGTACATTTCTGATATAGAAAGCTTTCTCTCATGTTTAGCTGGGAATATTCTTTTATTTTAATTATGAAACCATCGAAATCACTCGGATCGCTGGGCTTTCCTAGTCATTTAGGTTGCAAAGAAAGGGATGATGTTGACGACGATATTGTATTCGTAGTAGGTGAACCAGGTGAAGTGGTTTATGATGGCGCCAAAGAAATAAAAAAAGAAATCAAAAGTTGGTTCTTCTCGCTTAGTTTGGATCTTTCCTAAGTAGCCAAACACAGATTTTTTTTTTAAAGTTTGGATGCTTTTAACCCCCGGATATCCACAATCAGCGATCTTATTTTTGTTCCGATCTCAAGAAAGAGCTAACTTTTTGAAAAAAGAAACGGCATCAATTTTTATTCGAAAACTACGGTTTTGGTTGAAGTAGCTCTAATTTGCCACGTAACCCTCTCCCCGCCCTCAACCTGCATTTCTCATAATAATGAATATTTTTGCGTATATTTAAGCTGTTGCTAAAGCCTCGCAAAGCGCTTATTGTCAGGAGAATCCTTGAGTTGATATTCTTCGAAAGAGACAAAGCGAAAATCAGAGTCGCCATCAGACGACTACCAGGCGATGCAGCGTTGGTCAAAGCAACTGGAAAAGCTGTCAACTGCATAGCTGGAGAGTCACGCTATGAACTTCAACTAAACAAACTAGCGCGGTATTTAAACTGCTCGCACGTGCCAATACTCGATCTAATTCCAAAAACCATAATAAGTACGAAGGGGGCTTTGACTTTGGCTTTAAATTTTATCTCAAAAATATTTGGGACTGGCGCCATACTTATGGTACTTTTGTATTTAGAAGCTCGAGGTGGTTCCGTGAAGGTCGTCACTAGGAAAGGTGAAAAATTAGGCAAAGGCGTGCACCCAATGGTATCGGATCGAGCTCGAGAAGCCGACGAGGCTGCTGCAGGTTTTTTTTTTTCAATTCCATTTCGATTCATTCAGGTATCTGTAGTACAAGCTTTTTTTTACTTTGAAGGTGTTTGAGACAAAGTTCTTCAGGTTCACTCCTACTTTTTTCCTGATTTTTTCTAGGATGTTCAGCAGCTCTGCAACCTATTTCAGTTGGAAGAGCCGATTTAATTAACAGTGCATAAAACTTATTTTGCAGGAAAACCACAAATTAAAGAAAGTCAACTTCTGGCTGAAGCAGCAACAAAAGTCGAAGAACCAGACACAATGATTAGGCAAAAGAAAATAGGCGATCATGCGCGTGTTAAACTTCCACCATCCGTTTCCGACAAAGCGTTCGACGACGAGTTCAGACGAGGTCCGTTCCTCATCTCCATTTCAAATGCATGGAGATGACTGCATTACCTCTAACTTTTTTGGATTGTTTGGAATTGACTGTTTCGAATTATGAGCCCACTGTGCAAAAGCATCTTAGTAACAATCACTAACGGGGGATCTCCACACCGACTGTTCAGGCGGTCTTGTTATTCTTGGTATTTAAAATCCTCATTAGATGATTAAACTGTCTGCTCAGAGATTTTCAGGAATTCTTTTATACTGCAGGGCAGAATATCCTTGACCTTTTTTCAGAAAGAACAGAGGTGAGTTCGAAAACTCCAAACCAATAAATCGATATTTTAACTTTTGCGTTGACGGTTCAAAGTGTTTCTTTGAACAGATTAACTTTTTTGTTTTTTACAGCTTATCTAATTCGGCAAAATAGATACATCTTAGTGGACTGAGGTACTCAAAGCTTCGATGATATTGGTGGCACTTTATTTCTTCTGCGTTTGCTAATCTCTTATTTTCAGGCAGTTTTGACAAGACACTGTACAGCTTTTCGTTGACGTGCTGATGATGTCGTGACATTAAAAATTTTGTTGATTTTTTTAATTCATATATTATTTTAATGCAATTAATAACTTGGGCATCTGCATCCGAGGTGTAGGAGGATCTCAATAACATCACTAGCATGTGATGCCCAACTGGTCATCCAGGTGATCTAGAATTAAATACTTGCAGTTGAGCTCCTTGTGAACTTTTGTGTCTCCTTTCCAGCCGAGAAATGTTGCGTTTTTACCACTGTCTAAAAATGAAAAAACCTTCAAAAATTTTTTGGTTTTTCCAGAGGGAAGTGTAAGCGCTGCCGAGAGGGATGCTTCTTATAAAGCCAGGCTGGCCGAATCTCATGCAGGCTTGTTGATTGGATTAATTTGTTAACCGCTGCTGCTTCCTTACTTGAACTATAGAGAAAGTCAAGCTAAATTGTGATGAAACTGAGACTTGAGTTTTTTTGGGGCGATTTTTCTCTGAATATTTTCCAGTTTTTCTTGAATGGTAGATTTGTATTTTCTTTTAAATTCATTAATATTCTTTTCCAGGAGAAAATTTGGAATGAGAATGGGACGGAACAGGGGAAGAGGTGGGGAGAAAAAAGTGGTAGTGAGCTTTGTTCCTCAAATTTCCCGAAAATTAAAAAATTACTCTTTGTCTTGCAGGTGCAGCAATTGACCACGCTAAGCATGCAGCGGGAGAAGCGGGTTCGGCAATCGGTGATAAACTTGAAGAGGCAAAAAATGTTGCAGGTAATGTTGTAGTAAATCTTTTACAAAAATTAGAAAAACTACTCAAAAAAGTATATCCTAGAAAAAGTGCGCCTTTCGGGAAAATAAAATCCTCTAGGAGAAACCGAATATCTTTCCAAGGAAATGCGAAGATACGAGGATTTCAAATTTTTTTGACTCGAAAAATCCTTCCAAAGAAACGACGGTAAACATTATCATCTTGAAAAAATAAAAAAATCCCGTTAAAGAAAGATCAAAATAAGAACAAGTATAATTCCCCCAAAAGATGAGAACAAGTATAATTCCCCCAAGAAATAAGAACAAGTATAATTCCCCCAAAAAATGGTGCAAAACCTTCTGGGGAATCGAGTACCCCCTCTTCTCTTCTCCCTGCTCCCGTCCCCTCCCCCTACCTCCAAAAGAACGAGAAGATTTGGTAGGATTCAAACCGGATATCATGTCAGACAGACAAGGATTTGAGATCTAAATAGTTAGTGGATGATCTCATTATTTGATCAGTTTAGGCGAGAAAGCAGAAAGCATCAAAAGTGATGTAGAAGAAGGCGCACATGATTTTGCGAGTGAATCTGAAAGGAAAGCGGAAAAGATCAAGTCTGGCGCTGGTAAGCGTAGATTTCGAATTTCCAGCATAATCTCTGAGGTGAATTATCCAAACCGGGGCCCTCGCTTCCGGATAGGATATTTTTCCAATTTTTGAAGCTGTCAGTCTTTTTCAGTGGATGCGGCTCGAGGTGCAAAGGAAGGTGTGGAGTATGCTGGCCAGGCAGTTGCCGA